CACCCCTTCCGCAGCTCGCAGGCCGTGGGGTGCCGCGCGGGGAGGGGGAGGGGAAGGGAGGAGGGGCGCGTGGCGAAGGAAGGGGGCTCTCCCGGGAGGGGAAGGGCCGTGCGCGCGCACCGCCCTCCGCCCCCCCGCCGACCCCCCCTCGCAGCCCGCCTCGTCCCCGGCCCGGGAGAGGGGGGCTTGTTGGAGGGGACGCGGGCGCGAGCACGCACCTCGCGCGCTGCCCAGCGCTCTCTGGGGCTCTCTGGCTCTCTCCACCCGGCTGCTGTGGCGGACGCCGCGGCTAGCTCACTGGCTGGCTGGCAGGGTGGCTGGCTGCAGGGAGGAAGGGAACGCGACGCGCCTGGCTTCGACTGCCTGCCCTCCACCTCCGCAGCGAGTTTCCGTACCTTCAGGCGGACCCAGAGAACGCACACGTGTGGTCACTGCCAGCCTGGTTTCTGGACGCCACTCAATCGCCCAATGTTGACCCTCGAGCTTTCCTCCACCCCAGCTCTGGCCGTCTCTGTAGAGTGCCAGTTTTGTGGGCCAGCCCACTCGGCAAAAAAGCCTAGAAGAGCCTCCGCCCCCTTCTTTCACTCCTGCAAAACCAAGCAGTTGCCCTGTTGGCAGAGCTCATCTGTGGAAGCCTCAGTTCTGAGCCCGTTGGCTGCCTCACCTTGACAAGGGGACCAATGTCCCTTGTCTCCATCCCTGTTGACCTAGAAAGAAAACTCCTTGACTCACGTCTCTTTTTTGAGCTTCACAGAGAGCCCTAGCAAAAAAAGTTCAATGCATCCCACACAGCCTGGAAATGTTGTACTTAACGGCCCCATCTCCCTTTCTGGTTTCAGGTTTCTGAAACAGATCGTCAAGAGAAGTGAATTGGAAAACCAAGACTGGCAGACTCTTTTTCTTCACACAGTAGGCAGGAGCAGACAGTCCAGGGATTCTCGGAACACCTATCTTCCCTTTGGAGGACACTGAGTTCTAAGACAAAGGCAGGTCAATATGGCAGCAAGACTGAAGGGACACAAAAGAGTCATGGTGATTTGGTGACAGTTCTTCGAATGACAGTGTCTTAAAGAAAGGTGGATCAAGGAACTCCTGAACTTGTGGGTTGCATTGAGTGAGAAATCAGCATGGCTCAGGTAAAAAGCTCTAGAGTCCTCCTCCTTCAAGATCACTGGGAAGCCTGTTTACAGTATCACTCTTGAATGCTGCCTTAGTCAACATATTGACCAACCCCAGTGAGCCAAGCTCTGTATTAAGCACCAGGGGGAGATCTAGAGGAAGGAAAGGAGACAGGCCACAGCCCCTGCCTTCAGGGAGCTTCCAGTCAAATGAAGGAGGTAGGCTATACTGCATCACAGGCACTGATGGGACCTTTGCAAAGCACATGTACACAGTTTACATTTGGTACATTAAGTGCCAAGGGGCATAAGGGAGTGAATAGTCTGGTGAATGCTCTGATTGTTTTTTTAAAATAGGAATTTATTGAGCTTCTGTTATATGCAAGGCATTGTGTTGGGAATACAAAGATGAATAAGTTTGTCCTTGTCCCCAGCAAGCTTCCAGGCTATTTGGGGTGGGGTGGAGGGATGGAAAGACAGACTGTCATTTATTTTCATATTCACAACGCCTTGCATAATGGCTGGCTAGTAATGGAGAGTGAATGCGTTGACTGAAAGAATATGCAACAGTGGAGATACATACATAGCAGAGGAGAGCATGTTACTTCTGCCTGGGTGGAAAAAGAAGGTGATGCTTGAAGGGTACACAGGATTTTTCTAAACAAACAGAGAAGAGCATTGAGATGGGAAACTCTGAAGGGAGAGAGGCATGGGAGAGCCTGATGAGGTTCAGAGGACCACAGGTAGTTTGGTATGGAGCAAAGGATTTATATAGGAATACCTAGGGAGGGAGATAATGATGGATGGGCAAATTGTTTCCTGGAGAAGTAAGCAGAGTGTAACCAAGGGTCTTTCATGCCTTGTCAAGGAATTAGACTTCATTCTATGGAGGGGGATAACCTAAGGAGTACTAACTAGCAGAGTAACATCAGATCGGTGTATTTAGAAGGTAATGGTATTATAGGTGTGGACAATGGATCGGAGTGATAAGAGAGCCAGATAGGCTATTTTAATTGTCTGGGTTAAAAAAGCTATGTGTGGAGCCAGCAGGTGGCATGGAGGTGAAGGCACTGGATTCCACATAGCTGACTTCACACTTCTAATTTGGACCTGGCAGCTTGGAAAATGCCAGGTTCACGTGCTTGTATGTGTGCATACCCAAAATCCTGAAGGGAGAATAGAGAAGAAGGGATTGTAGTGTGGCCATTCCCCCTGGGGGGTGATTGCTCGCTCTCTCTCGCTCTGCAAAGCACATGTGTTTTATAGCAAACTAAAAAACAAAAAGCTGTGTGCACACATCCCCAGTGTGGCTTCCATCTTTCTTCCAGGGAACCTCCCCTACCAGTCTCACCAGGATCACAGTCTGGTTGTAGTATAATTGGCTTTCTTCCAGCTGCTTCTGCACACAAAGCTTCCTCCTTTCCACTTAGAGTAGGAGTCCTTTGGTCTCTTCTTCCTTTGTCTGCAACCCACTTCATAGCATCTTGTTCTGCGAAGGCTGCCTTTTACTAAGCACTGACTTTGTGCAGGGCACTGTTAGGTGTCATACATCTTAGTTTAATTCTCATCAGCCCAGTGTCAACCTAGTGATGGAAGGCAATATGACAGCATTTTGTATTTAAGAAAACTGAGACTTGAATAGATGGAGTAACTTGCCCAAGATTACACAGTGCAAACAGCAGAGCTAAAACTTAATTCTGGGGACCAGCAGGTGGTGTGGTGCTTAGAGGTGCTGGACTTCCACATGGCGAACCATGGTGCAAGTCCCAAACCTAGAGGCTTGCTTTCTCATTTTGTCCCTCTCTCCCTCTCTCTGGAAATAGTAAAATAATAATAATAAAGTTAAATAAAATAATTTTAAAATTTTTTTAAACTTTATTTTATTTATTTATTTTAATTTGACCAGAGAGGGACAGAGGCAGAGTGAGAGAGAGAAAGTGAGAAAGCAAGCCACCAGGTTCAAACTCGAACCGCGGTCAGCCATGTGGGAGTCTGGTGCCCTTAACCACCACTCCACCTGCTGGCCCCCCAATAAAATAATTTTTAAAATTACTACTATTTTTTTAATCTGAACTTTTCACTCTAAAGTCCCTGCAGGTGGGTAGGGGGTCCTGAGGTATGTTGATCATCTGAAAACAGCTTTTTTTTTTAAAAGAGATTTTTGGTATAGGGCATGGGAGAGAGAGACGGAGACAATCAAGAAATCCCCCGCCCCCTGGGGAGTGGGAATGGCCACACCACCAGTCCTTTCTCCTCTCAGGATTTTGGAAATGCACATACACACACCCATGTGTGCATTTTAGAAATGCACGCACACAGCATGAGTTTTAAACCACTAAGACTTGGACCATGGTCAACTATGTTGGAGTCCAGTGACATACCCATCTGCTGGTTTCCCAAAAAGAATTTCTTAAATTTGGGAGTTTGCTAAACTTACTACTCTTCTTTCTTTTTTTTTTTTTCTTTCTTTCTTTTTATTTTTCCTTAATTTGCCAGAGTGTACATGTGCTTGACTGAGGAAAAGAGAGGGAAAGTGAAAGAAGACCCCATGGGGAGTGATTGTGCCACAGTCCCTTCTCCATTTCTCCCTCCTTTCAGGATTTTGGGCACATATTGCACATGCGCCCAGTGTGTTTTCAAGCCACCGAGTCTGGAACTCAAACTGCATAGTTAGCTATGTGGGATCCAACCACGTTAACCACCATACCACCGCTGACTACTTTTTAAGTTTCTTTAGGGGCCAGCAGGCGGCATGGTAGTTAAAGTGCTGGACTTCTCACATGGCCAGTCACAGATTGAGTCCCAAACCTGGCAGCTTGCTTTCTCATTTTCCCTTTCTCACTCTGTGTCTCTCTGGTCAAATAAAAATAATAATAACAAAAATAAATAATTACTTTTTAAAAGTTTTTTTCATAAAAGTTTATTCTGGATCAGCTAGGTGGCACGGTGGTTAAAGCAGCTGGATCCCACATGGCCAACTGCCCGTTTTGAGTCCTGGCCCCAGCAGCTTGAAATACATGCCAAGTGCATGTGCATCCATGCCTAAAATCCCAAGAGGAGAGTGAAGGAGGACATCTCACGAGTTGGGGGGAGGAGGGGGGCGGGTGTTTTTTCACTTTGTCTTCCTCTCTGTCAAGCAAGCACTGGCATCCTCTAGCAAACTAAAAAACGTATATTCTCTGGTGCTAGCTAAACAAAACCAGTTTGAAGAACACAGCAATAAAAAGAAATTTGTTTATCCTTGTTAAATAATTTTTGAACCGTTAGGTCACTATAAAAAGTCACGACGTATTTTTCTGTTTTTAATGCAAAAATGCGTCATGACTTTACCGATGATGACCCAATATATCTGCTGTAATTGACAACTTTTAGAGTATTTAAAATCTGAAGAGAAAAGGGCCAGCAGGTGGCATAGTGATTAAGGTGCTGGATTCCCATATTTTCAATTGTAGTTCGAGGTCTGGACCCAATGGCTTAAAATTCACGCCAGGCGTGTGTGTGCATGTCCAAAATCCTGAGAGGACAGTAGAGAAAGGATTGCAGTGTGGCCATTTCCCCCCAGGGGGTGATCTCTCGATTTATGTCTCTCGCTCTCTCTCCAGCGAGTGCATGCGCCTTGTAGCAAAAATCTCTCAAAAAATATTTAAAGAGAAAAATAACCTATTTTGACTGGTAAACTTGTTCGTTTATTCATAAAACAAACTGATAGAATATATAGTTGGTCCCAGTGGGTTCTGCCTATCAGAAGTAGACTCTGAAGCTAAGGGCCATGAGAAAAGGAGGAGAAAGTTCCATTTCAGTGGCTCAGCAAGACAGACCCTCCTACCTGCTCATAGTTGAGGCCTAGAAACACCTTTGAAGTGGGCCGGCTGGTGGTGTGATGGTTAAAGGGGCTGGATTCCATGTGGCAGCAGCATGCTCAAGTCCCTGAACTGCACCTACACTGGGTACACGTGCATGCACGCCCAAATTCCTGGGAGGAGAAGGGATTATGGCATGACCATCCCCCCAGGGGTGTGTTCCCCCACCCCTTCTCCTGTGTCTCTCTGGCAAGTGCACAAGCCCTATAGCAAATTTTAAAAAATAATGAAGAAGTGCCTTTGAAGTGATATATAGGGACATACACACGCATACTTTGCGCAGCACCTTGCTAATGACAAAACTGTTGATACTTGGTTATTCACTTAATCTATCTTAAAATGCAGGGGGATGACAAAATACGCAACTGGTTCCTGGTGAGAGGAGTTAAGGAGGACTCTTAAAGGAAGCAGAGGTTTCACACTGAGGAGGGACATTTCCCTAAAGAGAAGCAGTTGTGTGTAGCTGGGCATATGAGGTAGTTCTATAGAGGATGGCAGCCTGTTTTTGCCCTGCCAGGTGACCTGACACCTCATCTCCTTTCAACTTAGGCAAGTCTCCTGGCTTGTGAAGGCCTAGCAGGTGTGAGTTTGGTTCCTACTGCAGCCAGCAAGAAGATGATGCTGAGCCAGATTGCCAGCAAGCAGGCCGAGAATGGCGAGAGGGCAGGTAGCCCTGATGTGCTGAGGTGCTCGAGTCAGGTACAGCGCTTGAGTCCAATGTGGCACCTGGGGGTCGGGCGGCCCGAGCTGTCTTGTCAGGAGACACAAAGCTTTGATTCCTCAGTGCTTCCGTGTAGGAACATGAGGAAAGGGGATCCAGCTGGGGAAGGAATGAATGGGGTATTTTAGAGAGCTAGGGAAAGTCTCTCTGTACCTGCAACCCCTTATGACAGGGTATGTGGAGAGGAAATAGATGTGTACTTTCTCAGAACCTTTGGGGCCAGTGGTTTACTGTAACTTAAAGGATGTTTGTCTGAAAATAGCATTTGGTCTCTCGTCTTACATGCTGAGATAGACTGTGAGTTTAGGTTTGATTTGTCTTCAAAGGGCCACCGAAAAGACAGCGATAAGTCTCGGAGCCGCAAAGATGATGACAGCTTGGCTGAGGCCTCTCACTCAAAAAAGACTGTTAAAAAGGCAGGTAATGGGGTTATCCTTCAAACTGGTGCTGTTTGGTAGTGGAGTAATTGTCCTCTTTTGTCCCATAACTCAACCCAGAATTTTCCCTGCTCACTTTGGTTCTTCATAGCCAGTGAGTGTGTCCCTTGATTTCATTTAAAGACCACTTCAGTAGCTGATCTCTGCCCCAGATGGAGCATATGTGGTGTAGGTTGGGGAGCATGAGGGCTCGTGATCCTGAGGTAGGGGGGAAGGCAGACGCCATCCCAGGTCCTGCTCAGAGTGTTGAGTTTGACGAGGCAGGCAGTTGCTCTACTCCACAGAGTCTCTTAGCTCTAAGAAGTGTGGGAGGTGACAGCACTGTTGGACAGCCTCAGGAATATGGAGGTGACAGCACCATTGTCCTGCAGCTGGAAATGGACCCAGAGTCAAATGGTCTTTCCCAGCAGAGGGATAGCCGTATGACATGCTTGATTGTTGCCCTCAGGTGGTGGTAGTGGAACAAAACGGTTCTTTTCAAGTAAAGATACCCAAAAATTTTATTTGTGAACACTGCTTTGGAGCCTTTAGGAGCAGTTACCACCTCAAGAGGCACATCCTTATTCACACTGGTAAGTCTCTTGCTTGTATTCAGAGGGAGAGATACATCAAAACTTGTATTCTGTGTGTGCGTGTAGTTGTAGTTGAGTTTTTTAAAGGGAAGTATTAGGAATGGAGGAAGACCACAGTGAACCAGGTAGAGAGATTGCATGGGTCTTACCTGGTATAACTGACTACAGCACCTCTGGGGACCCCTCCCCACTGATGGTAGCTTAGATGTCTGCATGTAGCTGAGAGTTACAGGTTCTGGGGAAATAACTGGAATGTGACTCCTACCATTTACACCACTTGACATTTACTTCTTTCTCCACCTGGGCCAGGTGAGAAGCCATTTGAGTGTGATATATGTGATATGCGCTTCATTCAGAAGTACCACCTGGAACGCCACAAGCGTGTACATAGTGGCGAAAAGCCTTACCAATGTGAACGATGTCATCAGGTAAGGCTCACATGTTCTCCATCCCCGTTACAGTCCAACACACATGTATTTCCTTCTCTAAGAGCCAGTGTCAGCCCCTAGTACCCGATACAGGGGCCATCAGGAATTTTTCACCATAAGAAGGTTAGCCCTTCAGGGTGAGGTGCATCTCTCTGGCCTTATACAACCAACCATGGAGAAGGGGTCATTGGAATATTGTAATAATAATAGCATTTCTCTTTTTCTTGCTTGCTTGCTTTCTTTTTCTTTTTTTTTTTTTTTTTTTTTTTTAAGGTTTTTGCCTCCATTCTAGAGAGACAAGAAACAGTGAGAGGGAAATTGAGATATCACTGCCCCATGGGGAATGGCCACGCTGCAGTCCCTTCTCCATTCTCCTCCAGGGATTTCATATACACACACACACATGTGCCAGTATGATTTTCAAGCTGTCAACTCTAAAACTCGAACCGCAGTCGACCATGTGGGAATCCAACACCTTAAGCACTTAACCCGCCTGGCACTGAAAGCATAATTTACGTAGATGATTTAGGCCTCATCATAACTCCATAGGATAGCTCTGCTGTCCTTACGTCACATACGGAGAAGACGAGGTTCAGAGACATTGGGTTTCCCAAGAACCCAGCAGATAAAGAGCAGAGCTAGGATTCAATTCCGCCTCATCAGAGCTTGTGCACCCTGAAGGAAGAGATTCAATCTTTGCCTTTGGAATCAGTAATCTGATCTGATGAGAATGTAAGAGCCAGGACCAAAATTAAAATAAGAGATGAGCAATGATAATAGCCAACACTTCTCAGAAGGTTTGCCTAGATCCCAAGCTTTGTCCTTTATTCTTACATCAAATCTTTAAAACACTAGAGGGAGAGTTCCTTGAGGGCAGAGACTTTGTCCCTGTAGTTCTTCACTCTGTCCGCAGCCCTAAGAACTGTATCTGCCCTCAGATAGATGCTCAATAAATATTTGATGAATAAAGCAACTGTGCTGTAAATAGGTACTTTCAGCCCTGTTTTACAGAGGAGTGTACGGATTCAGTGCTGTAGATAATTTGCCCGAGATCACACACCTAACAAGTGATAGAACCAGGATTCAGACCCTGACGCTCTAGCTCTGGAGCTTGCCTACTTACTCTCAGTGTGCTCAGACCGTCTACACGTGCAGGGGGACGGAGAATGTGACAGGTGCCTCCATGTGGGGAAGGAGCTAGCGAACAGGTAGCTGAGTTTCTCCACTCAAGCACTTAACCCTCCCTTTCTTCTCAGTGTTTTTCTCGGACAGATCGATTACTCAGACACAAACGGATGTGCCAAGGGTGCCAGTCCAAGACTTCCGACGGGCAGTTTTCTCTATAAATGCAAGGGGCCCCGGGTGGTGGGAGTGATCAGAAGAACCTGCAGAAGAGCGCACACCCTCTGGTCTGATGGTCCCACCACCACCCCGTCTGAACCTGTCCCCCTCCTGGAGGGGTGGACCCAGGAGACCAGAAGAGTGCATCAGGGGACCGTGGCCCCAGAGCCTCAGCTCTGTAAATAATCTGAGACTATGAGTATCTCGGGGAAGTTCCTGCAGCATTCCTGGGTAGGGGAACTAGTCCCTGGACCCTTGACTGAGGTCAGGTGGGGACTCGAGGTATAGGACCAAGACTGAAGTGTGGCTCCCACATCCTTGGACTCCAGCTGGCAGCTGAAATGGAAAAGATGGGGGACGGGGATTTGTTTGTTCTGTTCTTGTTTTTGTTTACTGAAAAGCAATTTCAGCAGATAAACTGTGGATACAGGTAATCATGGAGTCCTGGTCCTAAGCAGGGACTGTGGCTGGTCCAACTCCCCTCTAAAATGGGTTTTTAGTGCAGTCGACCCCCCAGGGTTCCTCAGCCCGGCAGCTGACCTCTGTTGGGGGGAGAGTAGGATCAGAGATGGCAGCCGAGCTTAAGTTAGCCGCCTTATACGCTAGAGACAAAGGGAAAAACAGTGGAGGAGCAGACAGGATCTGTGAGGGCGAGGCTGCCTCTTACTTCCTCCAGGGGAGAGTAAGAGTTGTGCCTGTGGCTGTCATAAAGGCCCACGCCACACTGGTACCTGACGGGGTCAGCTGAGGTGCCTTTTGGAGGACCCTTGGATGAGAGTGGCCTGTGAAGCCCTTTCTTCTCTCTGGGCAGTTGGTCTTGAAGATGTTTGTGGCTACCTCACTGCCATTGACTTCTAAAACCAGACTAGTGTTGAGCAGGGTCTCATGGATGATGGATGTCAGAGAGGGTTCTCACTCCTTGTGCCCTCTTAGAACAACCCAGGACTAGTCCCAAGTTGTCTAACATCTGTTCAAGGAACAAGAATTTGGAGTCTTTTTTTTTTTTTTTTTTTTTTTTGAGAGGTTTTTGCTATAGAGCACGTGCGCTTGCCAGACAGACAGAGACAGGGAGACAGAAAGCGAGAAATCACCCCCCCAGGGGGGATGGCCACGCCGTAATCCCTTCTGCTCCATTCTCCTCTCGGGATCTTGGGCACGCACGCACACATGCCCAGCGTGAGTTTTAAGCCACCGGGTTCAGGACTCGAACCACGGTCGACTACATGGGAGTCCAGCGACATAGCCATTATGCTAACTGCTGGTCCCAAGAATTTGGAGTCTCTTGACATGACTGTCACACAGTAGAAGCTGCTCTCCCTGCCCAAGTCCTATCACTGTATTCAGGTAGAGGAGACGGGTCTGGCCATTGATCCTAGAGAACAAGAGTTTGACTGCCTTTTTATAGCCATCCTTCCCAACAAAGAATTGAGGAAGGACAGGAAGAAAGCTAATGTAGGTTCTATTCTTCTTGTTCTTTGCTCCAGCACCACCACCTTGTCCATCCTCAATAATGAGCAGGCGTGTGGGGGGTATGTGATTACTCGTGTTTGTGTGCTTGGAGAATGGCGGATTACTGAGCCAAACCTTTCTCTGGCCTGAACTTAAGGGAGGGTGAGCATAAAACAGCCTCCTCTCACACACGCCTGAAGGGTGCTCGAAGTCCTAACAGGAGCTGAGGAACTCAAATTTAGGCATCAGGGGGCATTGTTTTGGAGGGGGTATTTTTAAATGATTGGACAGGCCAGTGGTTAGGGCTTGCAAACATGAATTTTCTAAGGCAAAATGAGAGAAATAATAACCTTTCTTTTTGGTAAAGAAAGGATCCTCGTGGGAGGTGGGAAGTCTTGGGTTTGGTTGACTCCCAGTGTGGCCTCTCCTGACCAGTGGGGGGTGGGAGAACCGTCCTGGGAATAACCGTGAAGGCTAGGTGAACCTGAGCACCTAAGGTCAGGGAGGTCTGAGAGGGGCCTCCAGGAAGTCTGCTCTGTTGTCCAGCAAAGGGAGGGGATGGACAGCGGCAGACTCCTGGCTGTTACCTTCTCCAGTGAAGAGAAGGTGGAAGGGGGTCCTGTGTACCTCTGAGTAGGAGCACTTCAGGGAAGAAGAAAGGAGACCTTGCACCCTGTAGATTTCCCCTGATAGCATCCGAGATCCTTTGGGGGAGACGCTGAGGAGCGTTTGCTGCTGTGCTCTCTGTGTTAAGTCAATGCTCCCAGGTGTGCAGTCTGCCACCTAGACCTCCATTTTTGGATCTGCCCTGTGATCTTAGCAAGCAGGGGTATCTTTCTGCATGCGAGCCAGCTCCCTACCTGTTAGAGGGCTCTGCTAGGGCTGGGTTTTCTGTCATTCCCCTCTGGGAAGGAGGTTACAATTAGAAAACTCTCCTCCAAAAGTGCTTTGAAACCAGAGGCCTCTCCTTACCACTTGCCGCTAATCTGTGCGGGATGGGGTTGTATGTTGAATCATGAGTGACCTCTGCCCCTACATGTACGAATGTGTGTACTAGGTCAGGATGTGCCCTGTCCCCCAGACCTTGGCTTCCTTCCCGGGGTGAGGGTGGGGGGCTTGTGAGTGTGTATAGGGGCCATTACCAGAACCACCCCTGCCTGCCAAGGACTGGGTGTGGGGGGCACTCGAACAGGTGGTTGTAGTTGTCGAGTGCTGGTGTTCTGGAGTAATGGATGTGTGAGGAGAGGAGCAAAGGGGTAATTTAGCATCCAGAGGGCCCAGGAGCCCCACATATACCCCAGGGAATCCATAGACCGCTGCAAAGGCTCCTGGGCCCAATGCCCACCCCTCCTCTGCTGGGGTGGGGCCTAGCACTGGAAAGATGCCTCAGGTGTGTTTGGAGGGAGGGGAAATATAGAACAGGCTCTCAGAGACCAGGGTGTGAACTGGGGGCTAGGGAGGGGGTCGTGCCAGTTCCGCTTGGATTGCTGCACCCGGCCCTGCCAGCCCCGCCCTTCCCAGCACCCCAAGTCTTTTCCGTCCACCCCCAACAGACTCTTGTCATCACTTAGCTACTGATTGTGCCCCATGGCTTGACATTGGAGGGTTAAATGAGTGGAGTCCCGGAACATTTGACCCTCTCGCCAGATGCTCTCTGCCTCCGCTGTGGCCCTGGGGCTGTTACCTTCAGCAATCCCCCCTACCCTTACTCTCCACCTGTTTTGTTTTTTTTTTTTAATATACTTATTTTGCTATGGGGGAGGGGAATATCAAATGAACAAGATCACTTTTAAGTGGTAGTTTTTATAAGATGTTATAAACTTGTATCTTTTTACCATTAAAGTGCAGTGTATGTTCCTTCGTGATATATTTAGGATATTTAAATAAAATGAGACTTTTCTACATACGATGTCCTCTTTGGGAAGCATATCCTTTGGGGCAGCTTTTTCTGTGGAAGCCAGCGGTTTTAGTGGTTTCCTTTTTTCCTAATATCACCATCTGCCAACTTCCAGCATCCCATAAGCCCTCACCTTAGAATGGCATCCTCTTTGCACAAGAGAAAAAGCATGCCCAACAGGACAGGATGAGGTTGGTCATCAGCAGTCGTGTTCCATGAGCTCCAGGCCTCCACCAGCATCACCCACGAAGTCACAGCTCACTGCTGCAAACCCTCCCCCCCCCGCCCCAGTCAGAACCAGCTGTTACCAGGTGGGGCAGAGGGTGAGACCCTCTCTCTGCCCTCAGGTGGTGAGGATGTGAGCTTTCCTGAGGCCAGGGCTCAGCAGCCTGCTCTGAGGGGTCCAAGCGACAGCTGTGTTCTGGGGAAGACTTTATTGTGTACTTGGTAGGGTAGCCCCAGTCGTGAGGTAGGGCAGCAAGGCAGTGGCAGTGGGGAGCAGCCCCTGCAGGTGTCTGAACATGAAGTCGGGCGGTGACCAGTTGTGGCAATGAATGTCACCTGCCAGACTGCTGCCTAGTAGGCCCCACCATGCCCCACCTCCTTCTGTCGTCTGGGGAGGAGAGTCGTCCTGGGTGAGTGTTCCTCCCCCACTTAGAAAGGGGGGTCATCTGCCTCTTGAAAGCGGGGATTGATGGTGGTCGTAATGGCACTTTTGTAGAGAGGATTGTTGTCCTGGGGGAGAGGTTGCAAAAGATGAGGGAATTGCCAGGCTCCCTCTTCCCCTTTAGTCCTAAGAAGGCAGCCTAGAGCTTGAGCAGGATCTTAAGACACTGGTGGGCGTTAGAGGGGTCAGTTAAGTGTTCAAGTTAACTGTGGTGCCTGAGTGGAAGTCACAGCTGGGCCTGGAGTGGAGAAGCAGAGCAAAAAGGAACCCAGCCCAGCACCCTCACCTGCTTCCAGTTTAGTTGCTGCCGCTCCTTTTCAAAGCGGCTGTACTCCCGGCGGTCGTAGATCTCCACTGAGAGCCGATAAGCCAGGACCAGCACCAGTCCCACTGCCACAATGCCCCCGATACAACCCAGCACTACAGCCTGAGTGTGGTCTGCTCCCTCTGTGGAGGACAAACAGCATAGATTTCTGAGCGCTGGAACATGGAGGGACAGACTGACAGTCACTCACATGTCCAGCCCCCCCAGTCCCTGTCTGTCATTGAAAGTGGGGTGCACAGTTATCCTAGTGCCCAAGATTAGCCATGTCCACTGGCTCCATCACCTCTGCTTTTGCCCTGAATTCACAGCCCTGCTCCACCCCAGCCTGGTTTCCCACAATCTTCACCTCCCATTCCCAGAGTTTTGGGGCCTTGCCCATCAGATTTACTGGGCTTCGTTTGGAATGTTGGTGGCACCCTGCCTACTCACGCTCTTGAGGTTTCACTCTCAGCAGGACCCTGCCTCCAGCCTCATTTGTTACCAGGAAGAAGAACAGCTTGTTGTCCAGAGTCCTCTCTTTGCACCAGCCATCATCCAAGACAGGGGTCAAATCCAGGGTCACATTGGCATGGGCACAGGCCATGCTGCAATTGGTAGCCAAAGGACCAGTCCCAAAGGCCCCACACTCTGCACAGTCCCTGTCCAGTGGATGCCAGGAAGTTACCAAGTGGGCAGTGACTTACTTCCCCCCCCCCCGCCACCACTTGGTGGGAAGGAGAGCAGGCAGGCCCAGCAAGCCCCACTGTGCCCCTGCTTGGGGTGAGAGACCCGGGCCTCACCTGTGTGTCTCGCATGGTGTCTTGCAGCCTGAGCACTGGTCACACAGAGCTCCGTAGTAGCCCTCCGTGCACTGGCAGCGGTTGCATTTGCAGTATCCGTGCCCACTGCAGTGTCCTCCCTCAGAACTGACACAGTTGTCCACGTCCCCACTGCACTCACATGCTCTGCCCGTGCGGTTTGCATGACAGTGACACACTCCACATTGGCAGTGGCCAAAACCTGAGGCAGAGCCATGCACAGGGTGATAACTACTTCCCGCCACACCCCACCGCAGGTCTATGCTGCCAGTCCCTTCCTGCCAGGCGCCTGTCCAGCTCCCTCACCAGAACCTTTGGTATTTGCTCTCAGCGCCAGGAAGCCCCTGAGCCTGTGCCATTAGGAGGGCTTCTCAGACCCACCCCCCCCAAAGACTCCAGTTACCTCCACAGAGGATGCCCTCATGTCGCTCGCAGCTGGCATCGTCGCACTCACATAGACGCCCGGAGCTCTGTCCACTGCAGCTGCAGCGTCCACACTGGCACCGTCCCTTCCCACTGCACAAGGGCCCTGTCCCATTGGGGGCTCGGCACCCAGATTCCAGGTCAGGGGAGGACAGCTCAGCCTCAGAGCACTCACAGAGCCGACCCAGACGGCCGGGCACACAGCTGGGAGGGGAGGCAGAAAGTGATCAGTGTGACCATCCCTGATCTGTTTCTCCCGGGACCCTTTCAGTCCAAGTTCTCAAAAGATGACATGGCCATAGGGATGCCAGAGTACTGTGTTGCCCCAGGGGGGAGAAGGGAGCTCTGGTTGAGGGGAAACCTGGGTGTATCTGGGAAGCTTTGGGGGATAAATTCCAGAGTGGAGTCTTGGCTGTCTAGCAGACCTCAGTGGGAGGCCGGAAGGCAAAGGTGGAAGAACGCAGGGTTAGTGATTTGTAGGGAGCCAGATGGGCGAAGGGAAGATGTCCTCACCTGCACACCCCACATTGTAGGTGCCCCTGGCCATCACTGCAGTAGGGAGCCTGGAGCTGGGTGTCACTGCAGTTACAATCACACACAGTGTGCAACTCCACAGTCACCTCTTCTGAGAAGCCAAGGGCCCGCAGCCTCAGGAGATGGGGCTGTGGGAGACAGCTAGTAGCTTGGAGAGTAACCCAGAAGTTCACCTGAGGATAGTGGGCAGGGATCAGTCTAAGATTAAACACACACACATTGACACCTGCTGGTCATAGAGAACCCTACCCTTTAATAAGAGAGATGGTCATCCCAACACCCATATCCTAGAAACACTTGAGAAAGGGCAGATGGAGGCTTTCACACCACCCCATCTTTTCCTGCCCACTCCCACCCTCCACTTCCGTCTACCTCTCCTGGCCGACTCTCACCGTTTGGTTGATTCCAACTTGCTTGCACTGTCCCCGGTCCCCAGCCTCACTCTCTGTCTTCTCAGGACCCCCACACTGAGATTCATAAGAGATATGGACCCCAGGAGGGAGCGAAGAATGTTCAAGGGTCACGGTGGATGACAGGCTCTATGGGAAAAGGGAGTGAGTATTCATGTGAAGCCAGGACCCCAACCCCACCTTACACCCGCTCTAGCCATTCCAGTTCTGCCAGACCCCACTCCTCTGCCCACCATGGGGCTCCTTTCAGTCTGCCAAGGAGAATTTCTGGAGGAAGGACCTGTGTGAACCTTGAGTGGAACACACAGGTCCAGAGGCCGCCATACAGCACTACAGTGCATTTCTCAGCAAGGGCCACTGTGAGTCAGGCTGGCCAGGTGCTGTAAACATGCAGGGTCCGTGTTTATCAAACCCCAAGTCAGTACACCTAACCTGGGCACGTGCCTGGTTGAAAGGGCAGTTCATTACATTCACTTTGTCTTGGGAAATTTGATGCTGTCTCAGATTTTCTCACCATGGGTTTAGGGCATGTTCCCTGTCATCAAGAGGCCTACTGTGTTGCATAGAGAAATGTAAACCCAAGAAACACTTCAGAACTTTCATAATTCTGTCTATAAAGTCTAGTGTCAGTGCCGACAGGTAGCGTGGTGGTTAGAGGCACTGGACTCCACATGGCTGACTGCGATTCAAGTCCTGGACCTGGTGGGTTACTTTCTCACTTTCCCCCTTTCTCTGTCTCTGATCCAACTGAAAAATAATAATAAATTATATTAAATAATTACTTTCTTTAAGTCTAGGGTTCTGTGACCAGCAGATGTCATAATGGTTACATTTCTAGACTCCCATGTAGTTGACCGCTGTTCAAGTGCTGGACCCAGTGACTTAAAACTCATTTCGGGTGCATGTCTGTATGTGCCCAAAACCCCAAGAGGAGAAGGGATCACAGTGTGGCCATCCCTCCTGGGGGGGGTGATTTCTTCTCACTTTCTGTCTCTATTTCTCTGGCGAGCACATGCACCCTATAGCAAAAATCTCTCTAAAAAACAATAATAATAATAGAGACCAACAGGTGGTGTGGTGGTAAAGGTTTGAGTCCCAGACCCGGTGGCTTGCTTTCTCACGTTTCCTCTCTCTCCCTCTCTGGTCAAATTAAAATAAATAATTCTTAAAACAATAATAATAAAAGTCTAGGATTCTTATGAAGAATATCTCTGAATACTCTATAAAATTAGTGAAAGCAGACTAGGTCTTTTTTATTATTATTTTTTTAATTTGCCGAAGGGTGCATGCGCTCATCAGAGAGAGAGAAACAGAGACGGAGAGAGAGAAAGCAACCCCTAATGGGACATGGCCATGCTACAGTCCCTCCTCTTCCATCTCTCCCTCCTTTTGGAATTTTGGGCATGCATGTACATGCACCTGGCATGTTTTTCAAGCCACCAACTCCAGGATTGGAGCTATGGTTGGCTATGTGGGATCCAGCCCCTTTAACCACCAGGTTACAGGTTGGTGTTCACGTTCTTTTATGTATGGACTGCCTGGGGACAAATGCCGGCCCTTCCATTTACTATGTGTGGCCTCAGGCAAGTCACTTAGCTTCCTTGAGTCTGTTTCCCTCATCTGTGAAACAGGGATGAAATAGTCATGAAGCAGTGATTTAAATGACAGAGCAAACAGTGTGTGTACCTGGGACAGTGCTTCAAATAAAACACAGCCCAATGATTGCTGCTTTCTTCCTTGTCCAAAGGAGGTCTCTATGTTATATGCATATTAGACACTTAGGATTTAAGACCATGAGACCCACTACAGGGGCAAAGCCACAAGAGATAGTTCCCTTCCCTAGGTCAGTGCCAAACAGAAATGTTGGGCCAGAACACAGAGTACCCACCAGGGCATACCCAGTAGTTGCAGGGACAGGCTAACCTGGAGACTCCAGAACTGTAGAGCCACCGCTAGTGTGCAGTGGCCACTTGGAAAAGCTGCAGGCACCAGACCCCAAGTAAGGGCAGCCAGGTGGGCTGCTATGGGGCAAGGCTGCCCAGCCTTAGAGGCCCAATCCCTACCTGGGGTTGTGGGACATGGAGTCAAAGGAGATTATTCTCAAGCTTTGACATTTAATGTCTGGGCTGGCCCTGTGGCCTGGTGGCTGGGGGGAGCTGGATCCCACAGAGCTGACTACACGATTGAAGTCCCTGCCCTGATGGTTTGAAAAACACACCTGGTGTGTGTGCATGCATGCATACCCCACATCCTGAGAGAATAGAGAGGTGGAGAGGAGGGGGTTGTGGTGTGACCACACCCCGCTGGAGGAGTGCTTTCTCCCTCTCCCTCTGCCTCTGTTTCTGGAAAGCACACGTGCCTTCTGGCAAATTGAAAAATAAAATAAATTAAAAAAAAAAAAAAGATCTGGGGTCGGCAGGTGGCATGGTGGTTAAAGGCACTGGGCTCCCATATGGCCAACTACAGTTCGAGTCCCAGTCCCAGATACGGCAGTTTTCTCCCCCCCACCCCTTGGTCAAATTAAAATAAATAAAGTTAAATAAACTAATTATTTTAAAAATAAAATAAAAGATCTAATGTCTACCTTCTTGAATTGTTACTCCTTTCTTGTGGTATGAGAATTTCTACCCTGTGTCCACCTTGGCATCCAGATGGGAGGGGCGAACAGGGGAAGAGGGAGATTCTGTTTCCTCTCTCTTTGCACATGCCCAGCCTACCCACTGTTCCTGTCAGCCATGTTATGACATAGCTCCAGAGACTGGCTGACGCTGGTCCCATGACTTTGGACTTCCTAGTCACCAATCCCATGAGCCAAATACACCTCTATCCTTTATAAATCGCACAGTGCCAGGTGTTTCATATTTAGCAACATGGCAGCAGACCAGTACAGAAGGGCTCCATGCTCTACACCTAGCAAACACGTAAGATTTATGACCATGAGACAGCAAGTGAATATTAATGACAGCCACATGCAAAGTGCAGGCAGGAGCTGTGAGCTGTTAGACCAAAAAGTGATCATTCCTCCTAGTTCTCCTTTCCCCAGCACCCACTACCACTGTTGTCCCCCCTACCCTAGTCCCTCACATTATAAGCGTCCATAATGAGCTGTACCACGTTGCTGGAGTCCTCACTCAGCTCCCCGACTGCAGACTTTGGAATCAGCTTACTCAGCTCCTGAGTTAAGAGGAGTTTATGGAAATGGTAGGGCACAGCTCTAGGGAAATGAATTCCTGGGAGTCTGGAAGGAGGAAATGTAGGGGGCAGAGAATAGATCTTTGGGAAAACTGACAGAGTGGGATGGGGTAGGGAATTGCATTTGGACAGCTCTCACCTGGTAGACAGGCAGTGTGGGACTGGTGACAGCAAAGATGGGCTGGATGTTTGCTGCAGAGAGGGCCTGGGCTACCTGACCCACAGAGGGGTAGTCCTGGGGCAGGGAACAGGAACAAGGTGAGAGATCTCCCCCAGAACATGCAAGGTGCCCTCAGCCCAGGGAATCCAGGAACTGGGGTTCCACCAACTGCAGGACCCCTGGAGGCTTGGTGAGGAGAACCAAGGAAGTAGGGAGTGGGGAGACACAGGTCTCCCATCCGAGCATCTGGGAGACATGCAGGGGAGGTGCTGCTGGGGAGATGGCAGGGTGTCTACAGGTGGTCACCAGCGAGGAGTGTGAGGCTAGGGACTGGGGATCCTGGAAAGAGAAACCATGGCCCACATGGGGAGGGGCAGGGTGAGGACACTCACAAACTCTGGGCTGCGGCTGTAGAGGCCATTGCTGTCTAAGTGGCAGTGCCCATCACTGGGCATAAAAATGCCACCCAACTTCCCGTCTCCAGCTGTGTGGAATGTGTCATCTGAAGTGAAC